GCCGAGAGTTGACGAAGGCATGGATTACCGTTTCCAGCTGCTGCTGTGTGAGGATGGGCTTTAGCCAGCTGTCTGCGATTATTAAAAACTGTCCTTGACCACCACTCCTATGTGGGAATCTAATTTGAAATCACTGTCCATTTTAAAATCTAGATTAGATTAGAATATGGTCTCTGTAGATTGCCCTAGCTTCTCATATGCGTCATCAGATCCCATCAGATGGATGTTTTTAGGAGTTTGGAGTCCAAGTAAACATTTAAGAACATGTTTTGTTCTTGAAGTTTTTAGTGTGACACTGCTGGCCTACTGAGTGGGTGATTTTTCACTGAGGGAACACTTCAGGTAATAATGTCCTGAGAGCGCACGCTGTAGCTGCACTCACGCGGAGACATGTAGGAGGAGATGTATGAAGGCAGCAGACCAAGAAGTGATTTAAAGATGAAAATGTGCCAGTGAGAGAGTCTACATGAAGTTAATGATGTCCAGTTAACCAGTGAATACAGGGTGCAATGGTGGGTATGGTAATTACAGCGATGTCTACCATCAGTAAGTGTTCCGACATTATGAGGTTGTGAATGATCTGTAAAGAATATCGAGTCATATGACCTGTCGGTGGAAAGGTAACTCGGTTAGTAGAGCTGTTGCCTCTCGGCGCCAAGGTCGCCGGATCAAATTCTGTCCAGGGGCCTTTCTGGTGGAGTTTGCATGTTCTCTCCGTGCATGCCTGGGTTTTCTCCAGGTGCTCCGGTTTCCTCCCACAGACCAAAAACATGCATGTTAGGCTGATTGGTAAATCTAAATTGTCCCTAGGTGTGAGTGAGAGAGTGAATGGTTGTTTGTCTCTGTGTCCCTGTGATGGACTGGAGACCTGTCCAGGGTGTCCCCTGCCTCTCACACAGTGCTGGATATGGACACCAGTGACCCCTATGACCCAATAAAGAAGAAACGGGTAAAGATAATGGATGGATGGACCTGTGTAAAAATATAATTCGTATCTATGGCTGAGTGTGAGGAGTTTTACTGACTTTACCTGCCCGTGCTTATACTTTAGTCCCTCGTTTATCACTAGGTTTAAGGACCACACCCTCTGTGATAAGGGAAAAACTGAAGCAGGGTTACAGTAGTCCAAGTTCAAGTTTCACTCCCAATTTCCCTCCTTCTGTGTAAATAAACAATTTAAATTTAAATACTGTAATATTTTAAATAAACAATCCATGCATTATATATTTTATTTTTTAAATATTACAGTATTTAAATTTAAATTGTAGAGAAGAGATGCGCAGCAGGGCAGCAAAAAGTTAACCCTTCACACCGCTGTTGCAGCACGAGGAGAAATATGTGCGTGGGAGAGCGCAGAGATCATGACAGGCTGCAGAGAGAGCTTCTCCCTGGACCTGTGGGCTGCACACAAGTGCAGGAGGTGCTAAATCATTTAAAATGATTTATTTTAAATAAACAATCCATGCTGATCGTGCGACTCATCCATCAATCAGCCAATTGTGTCGTTTCCACTCTTACTTTGAAAAACCGCAAAAGAGTTCGAAAATCGAACCGTGAAGTAGCGAGGGACTACTGTATTTTTTGATTGGTTTAATGACATGGCATTGGCATGTTTAAGTGACTCATAAGTGATTATTATGCAAGAGAAGCAAACAAATTTATTGAAAAAGAAAACGCCTGTAGTCTATGGGACCCAGCCTTTACAAAGAAGAACGAAAGGTTAACTTACTAATGTTAGGTTACAATTAATCTGCTGTCAAGTCTGTCGAAATAAGATAAGCTTTTGCAATCTGCATTTAACATCATCCAGACAGATTTGTTCCGCCTCAAACTTGTCCTAAATGCTGACAAAAACCAAAGGGATGCTTTTTTTCAAACAGGAAGTTGGTCCCAGCAGTTCTTCCTCCGATTTTATCCTCGAATCAGAATCAGAATAAACTTTATTGGCATTGCTCCGAGATACAATGCGAATATGTACGTACAGTTGTCCGAAGATGGGCGGAGTGCACGAAGCTGCGGCTACAAATAATTAGCACGGCCCTCTTATTCTTATTCAGAATAATATTTTGCTTAGATGCGAAAAGGAAAGAAAACACGAGGAGAGACGGTATAAAGAAAAGATCTCTCACACCGTGTCCTAGACAGGGCACAATTTGAGGCATAAAAAAAAACCTACCACAGCAAAGCAACATAAACAGACATTATACATTTACATATAGACCGGTGAAAACATTGAATTTTAAGGGAAAGTCGTAGCATAGTCCAGATCCCCCGCTCAGCCATTGTCCAGATAAGAGGTGACGTTCATCTTCAGCTCGGTTGAGGTTCTGTCACATGTCCATGGCCTTGGGGAAGGGAGTGGTGAGGAAACACTCAAAGCATCTTTGTTTTTGTCAAAACATGCCAGGAGGAGTTGAGAAGTCCGGCATCAAGGCCACAGTTTGGGTCAGGCAGAACTTGTGAATTGTTGTTTCTGCCTTTAAAGTCCTGCTGTACATATTCTCTGATGGAAACTCCAAAACAGCTGAATTGATCCTTTACTCCAAAAGTTGAGCTCACAGCTTCTCCAAGATTATTCCCACCATTCATGAGTGCTGCCAGGAAGATCACAGTCCTGATAACAGCTGCTCCAATTCCCTGACACAGCTTCCCACATTCAGTCCAAACACTGTCAAGCTTCAATACATCCACACGAATTCGTAGACAACCAGATTTCACCAGCCCAAACAGCAAAAACCAGTTGTCCTCATGAATCCAATTTGTTTCCGTCGAGGTAAGAGGGTCCTCCTTACCCTGACTCCTGTCGGGAGAAGTTGATCGATTTTGTTGAGAGACCAGCTGATCCTTCGAATTAAGAAGTATGCAGAAAAAAAAGAAGCTTTTAAAGCAAAGAGCGCAGCAGGGAAGTGGGTGGGGGGGAGAGAGGGGAAACACGTCTGGTTCCACCGTAGAATAGAAGGAAAAAAAAAAATGGTGTCCCTATTGAGTTTGTTGATTCCTATAAACATTTGGGTATCTTGGTCGACTCATTTCTCTTTTAAACTCCATGTGGAAAACCTAGTAAAGAAACTGAAAGTTAAACTGGGTTTCTTTTTCAGAAACAGATCCTGTCTAACCCTGAATGCTAGAAAACGCCTTGTAACTGTTACTTTCCTTCCCTCCATTGATTATGGTGACATTATTTACATGAACGCTCCTACAAGAACCCTGCAGATGTTGGATGCTGTCTATCATGGTGCACTAAGATTCATAACTGGCTGTGATTATCGTACCCACCACTGCACCCTGTATTCACTGATTAACTGGACATCATTAACTTCACGCAGACTCTCTCACTGGCACATTTTCGTCTTTAAATCACTTCTTGGTCTGTTGCCTTCATACATCTCCTCCTACATGTCTCTGCATGAGTGGCAAAGGGCCTTCTCCTACTCTGCTCCTGTTTCCTGAAATATCTTACAAAAAGACCTGAAGCTCTCGACCTTGACCTCTCTAAGTGGCTTTTTAAAATCTGTTGGACTCCTGGCAAGGACTAATGCAGACATGTTCCTGTTTTTAGTTTTCTACATTCACCTTAGAATCTAGCTGTTTTTGTTACTTTTTTTGCCATCTTATTTGTAAAAAATAAAATAAACTAAATCTGTATGCCTTTTTATATTTGTCTATCGTTGTTGCTGTTGTCCATTGTTGTCATCATTCTTTGTTGAAATCAGGTCTCTCTTGTAAATGAGTCCTCGAGGCTCAATGGGAGTTACCAGTCTAAATAAAGGTTGACTGAATGAAAGAAAAATGCACAAGGAATCCACAAGATATAAACATAACAGCGAATATAAAAATATCAACTATTAACTGTTAACTGTTTCTGATGAAAGCTGAAACGTTTCTACTTTTTTTGGTTTTTGTTTTTTTGTTGTTTTTTGAATGTCCAGAGGACCAGACTTTTAACTTTTTTGGATATCAACTATTAAGTTCTAAACAGGTCGGGAGTGTACAGTACATGTGTGAAATGTTTTAATGTGAAAACATTAAAGTGTTTATTGTAGTGCAGGATTAATTTTATTATCCTATGCGCAGAGAGGGGGAGAAGTTGCATAGTTTGATAGCCACAGGGAGGAAGGACTTCCTGTGGTGTTCTGTGGAGCACCTCCGTGGTCTCAGTCTACGACTACGAATACATCTAGGGCCAACTCTCAAACCAAAAATGTTAAAACACTAAAACCTGTTTGACAATACAGAAACTGCGTTTTTTAAGCTTGTGCATGATTTTGAAAATCAGCAGGAGATTTGCAGTTGGATAGGTTGGAGCCTTGACCTCTGACCTTTAGTGTGTGTGTGTGGGTTTTTATTGTGACAACAACTCAAACTGAGTCACAGATGCATTGAACACTTCTTTAAAACATTAGCTTAAAGGTGTTTTGTGAGACATAAGTCTTAAAATTCTTTAGATTTTTTTTTTTATTTACCCTTTTTGTATACAGGTAGTCTCCATTGAGTCACGGAAACTCATTTTCAAAAGAAACCTGTTCTTTGGGAGCAAATGGTGGGGGTTAAGGGCCTTGCTCAAGGGCCCAGAGTGGGGCAAATGAAGGTGGAGGCAGGTGTGGGTGTTTCACCTTGTCCACCCACATTTTGATGTTGACGGTACCGGGAGTTGAACCTGCGACTTTCCGACAGGCCTATCTTCTCTAACCTCTGCGCCACCACTCCAATGTATTTTTGTATTTATTTACAGACCTTTTCAGATGCTTCTCTCGTAATTAAAGTTATATCCCTAGCATTACCCTTACAGGTTGTCTCTAATGTGAATCAAACCTATGTTTGACTCTAAATGTTGTACTTATACACATTTACTATGATATACAGGTAACACATTGAGTTTTGAATTGGCTAATTCTCTGTATTTATGCATTTAATGTAAATTAAATTAATGTAATGCATTGAGCATGCATCAGGGCATTTAATGTAGAAACAGTTTAACAATTGTAATCTCATCTTTTAAGGGAACATCATTGGTTCTGGGATATTCATCTCGCCTAAAGGAGTGTTGGAGCATGCAGGCTCAGTGGGACTGTCGCTCATCGTCTGGGTCTGTGGAGGGGGGATCTGCGCCCTTGGGTCCTTGTGCTATGCTGAACTTGGCGTCACAATCCCAAAGTCTGGAGGAGACTATTCTTATGTGACAGAAATCTTTGGAGGGCTTGTAGGGTAAGTATGTAGTTATTTTCTAGTTGCCTCATCTGTTTTTCTTAACATGTACTTTAACAAACACTACAACAGATTACCACATATAGATTTTAAGTTGTGCTCATTTGATTTGTATTGCATTACAACAACTCAGGGTTGGCTAATTAACACCTTGTCTACATACTCTGGGGGTTAATTTTAAACTATTATTTTTCTTCATTAATACAATACTGGACATGTATTTTTGTTTAGCTTCTTACTTGACCCTAATCTTTATTGCTCCAGGACTGTTTCATGAGCTTTTTGGATTTCATTATGCATCTTATTTTGGAAATTGTAACCTAATTTTCTGCTGTATACCTATCCATCCATCCATCCACCAACCCTGGACAGGTCACAAGTCCATCGTAGGACAAGATAGAGACAAATGAGACAAACAACCACACACCTCTTAGACAAACTGACACTCACTGCCTGTGGGGACTGGGAAAGAAGGATGACACTTGTTGATGCATCAAGTAGAAGAGGAGCTGCTTCAGTCAGTCAGAGTCAGAGATTCTTTGTAATTCGCACCTCATGTGGTGGAGCGAAATTATGTACACATGGTCCCAGTTATATCCAACAATAAAATGTAAAATAAAAACCATGATAACATCCAAGATATTAACTAAGAAAAACATCAACTAAATATACACTAAGCACTAATAACATAAAAACATCACGTCGAACATCAGCACAAACCTGAGCATGAGTCCATGTAAGCAGATGAGCACGCATGAACACAGCGACATTGAACCAGATCAGCAGCAACATTGAACCAGATCAGCAGCAACGTGATGTGATTATTTTCACAGTGATTATTCTGGTTAGAGATTAATGAGTCTTAACAGCCTCAGGGTAGAAGCTGTTCCTCAGTCTAGTGGTTCTACACTTGATGCTCCTCAACCTCCTTCCTGAGGGGAGCGGGGCAAAAAGTGTGTGTGCTGGGTGATTGGGGTCCTTCATGATACAGGTGGCCTTCTTCCTGCATCTGGAGGTGTAGATGTCTGTGATGGTGAGGAGACTGACTCCAACAGTCTTCTGTGCAGCCTTCACCACTCTCTGCAAAGCTTTTCTTTCTGCAGCTGTGCAGCCTCCATGCCACACATTGATGCTGGAGCACAGGATGCTCTCCACTGCACAGCTGTAGAAGGAGGTGAGGACTGAGCTTCCCAGACCATAGCCCCAGACCAGCTTCCCAGACTATAGCCCAAATTGGTTACAAAATGTAGCTTTTACCAGTAGAAAAATTGGAGCACATCAGATCAGCACATTAGCAGCTGCATGGTGATTTTTAAGTCTAGGTCTCCATCCTGACCCACAGGTTCTCACAAATTGAAGAACTTCCAGTTCCAGCATTGAAAACTGGACCAAGAGATGATTAAACAAGGTGGCCTGTTCTGATGGAGCACATTCAATTCAATATAACTTTATTATCTATAACATTCCATGAAATTGAGACTTATCTTTGACATCTGGTTCAGTGTTTCTTGTTACTTGCCTCGGGAGGGTGCTTGGTTCTGTTGACAGGGCGGGGCACCCTGCTTGAATAATGCTATGGGAAATGCTGTGGCTTATACATGCAACACAAAACAAGTGAAAAATGCAGTAAAACCTTTCAAAAAGCATTGCTAGAGCATTCCCTTTTTCATATTGGAAGACAGGCCTTCTCCGTGTATAGCAGTTGTCTGAGGAAGACCTTACCTTTTTGTTTTGGCAGCAAAACAAGCAGGACCTAATGGTTTGTCAGTATAGCTACAAATAATATGGAGCTGTTGATGTACTCCAACATGGTGCATTTTGTGTACTTGCTGTTCTGGTGGTGTATTTGTTCTTCTATCTGACAATATGTCATAATTATCCGATTTTTACATCCTTGACCAAGCACTTAACCCCAACTGCGACCATATTCATTGTAGAACAGTGATGTGCACTGACGACTTTCAGAACAGGGAAAAATGTCAGCAACTTACACAAACATGTTTAAATGGTTGTTTTGTCTTTTCTTGGTTTCAGTTTCCTGTTGTTATGGAGTGCCGTCCTCATCATGTATCCAACTACACTGGCTGTCATTGCTCTCACCTTTTCCAATTACGTCTTACAGCCAGTCTTTCAAAACTGCTTGCCTCCATTCATCGCCACCAAACTGCTCGCCACCATCTGTGTCTGTAAGTCCCAAGTTTAAAGCCTTCTGAAACTTGACGTACAATATTTTGTCATATTAGCTATTTATATGGTTGATGGTAGAAACGATAGATCGTTGCAATTTAAAAACAAGATCTAGTGAAACTTGGTTTTGTCACATTCATTCTTTATCCCCATTTCCTTAAGAAGTTATTAGAGAAGTGAGGGTGACAAAGTTCTTGCGGTCACAGGTAAATAACAATTGGCTTAGATATTTTGATGTTTTTATTTAGTTGTTGTTGATAGTCATGGTAGCTCTTCAACACAGGTGCTGTTGCTTCATCCTGGCATTTTAAATGTCATGACAATGAAAAATTGCAAAAATAAAAAGGAAAAACTCACACCAGTGCACCGAAGTCAGTCTGGAATTTTGAGAAAAATGAAATCGACGAAGGGAAGTGAAGGCAGCACTGTTGGTATAAATCATGTCACAAACTAATAGCCAATGCACAATTTTAACAACAAAAGAAAATTATTTTTATACATATGCATGAATGATAATAAAATGAAAAATGTTATCATCTTATGTTCTTAAATGAGTGACTTTTTTTTCTCATTTATTCTTTTACTCTAGTTATGCCTTTCTTTTTTTTTATTCTGAGCAGCATGCTGGCACTAAGTTTTGGACTGTTTCATTTATTCCTGTTCATCTCCCAGTTGCTGTTGCAGAGAGGGAAAAAACTGTTTTTTTGCCACGTTTGACTAATTGGCGCTTACTGATTGGTATTCTTCAGTCTATTTCATAATAGCTGAGGTTTTTTTTTAACCTTGTATTTTTCTCATCAGTAAAGACTAAAATAGAAAAGCCAAGTGTGACTAAGCAAACCACATGTAGTTATGTTGATCTAAGAATATCACACTATGGTATTTCACTGTATCATGATGGCGCTTTTTCCATATAATTTCAAGCTGTGCTCATTTCTAGCCTGACCTGATCAACACTGTTAGTTGAAATGCAGACTTCAACCACTGGTATTTAAATAACCTGTGAAAAAACATACTGAGCATGCATCTCATGTACAAACCAACCAGTCTCGTCTTGTCCAAACCAGATGGAGTAAAGGAAACTAGGGAGATGTCTGGGAGTGGGATGAGTATCTGTATGAGACTGTGCACATGTGTCCAGCTGAGGTTGACATGATCAGAGTGCACTGATGGATCTCCACTGTTTTTGACAATGGAACTGCCCAGAGAGACATGCTGCAGATAAGGAGGTGTGCAGAGATTATTGTAAATTGTTTGCTCCTGTTACTGCATATCAAAAGGGAATGGTCTGGATACTTTGCACATTAATGATGGAAGATCCCACTGACCAGTTGTGACTCTTGTTGGGCTTTACATGGTCCTTTTTACTGCTTATTACTATCCACGGTGTTTTCTGTTGCATAGCATCACACATCAGACCTAAGGTCCCAGAGATTTCAGTCTTCTGTTTGTAATTGGCTAATATAGGCTTCATGTCTCAGGTCTAAATTTGATCCACCTCTCATACACAGGGAACGAGCATCCAAGGCACCCTAATAATTCATGACACTCCAACATTTTTCAGTCAGGTCATCTGGACAATTTCCAGATGACCTGACTGAAAAATGTTGGATTGTATACCTGGATTATTGAGCATGGATTTTGTTGTTTTCAACCAGTTTGACAAGACTGTCAACAAGGAAGAGGGCCGGCAATGGAGGAGGGGGCGTACCAAAGAGGCCATCTTATTACAAGCAGAACTGGTTTGTTCCACTTTGGAGTAAGCTGTTGGGGGAAGAATCCGTTTTGTTGTGCGTTTCCTTGACTGATGAAGCCTTCCTGACCGAAGGCGAAACGTTTCAGCACAACAAAAGAAACTGTCCAGATGACCTCACTGAAAAATGTTGGATTGTATACCTGGATTATTGAGCATGGACTTTGTTAATTCATGACACTGTTTGCTGGATTGAAATTGTTTTCAGCACAGAACTCTGTGAGGTCAAATGAGTTTCTTAGAAGTGAGTTTTATGAATCTGAGTCATCCCAGATATTTGTTGTCCCTCTTTCCTCCCCTACAGAACACACTGCATACGTGTGTGGGTAAAACCAAACAGGTCCAGTTGTGGACTAGCTGCGTTCTAAGAATAGGCACAGTGTGAGGCCCAGAGCACCACTTCAGCACAGCACACCACTTTCAAATGGTGTGCTTTAACATTCCTTTTATTGTGGAGTGTTACTTAAATTAAATATAATCAGACTCAGGCCAGAGGAGCAGCTCTGGCCCATGTTGCAATTTTATTTGACCAGCTAGATAATGATGGATATAGCAGGGGTTGCCAACACGATGCCTGTGGGCACCTGGTCACCCGCAGGAACCAGGTGAGTCACCTTGGGCATGTTCAAAAATGGCACTCATCAATGAGCACTTTATTTTCACAGTGATTGGGAGGAAGAAGTTTTTATTTGTTTATTTGTTCACAGTTGTGAAAGACAAGTGTTCGTGTCTTGTTTGTGGCGTGACTGTAGCAATGGCAAAACGCCACAATGTGAAGCGACACTTCACCAGCTAACACATTAGCTTTAGGCAGAAAAACACCGAGAGTTAAAGGTTTGAGCAAACGGCAGCCTTTCTTCATGAGGCATTTTCAAATGTGGAGGTCTTGAAAGGAGCCATGATGACATCTTTAAAAAGTTAATTGTTTAAAAGAGTGAAAGATGTGACTATTTTAAATGCTGCAGATATCGGTATTAATGTGGCATAATTAATTAAAAAATGAATTTAAAAATTTTTTTTGAAGTCCTTCGACACTATTGACCACACCATTCTCCTTGAAAAACTGAATAAATACAGCATTAGAGGATTAGCACTACAGTGGGTATCTAGTTATTTGAATAATAGGAGACATTTTGTACAGGTAAATGATGTAAGATCTACATTTTGTGTTCATGGATGTGGAGTTCCTCAGGGCTCTGTGTTGAGACAAAAGTTGTTTATTTTGTATGTGAATGATCTAGTTGATGTGTCAGGGCTTTTGAAGTGTGTTTTATTTGCAGATGATACCACATTTTTTTCTTTGCATGAAAATATTGAACGGATGTTGGAGATGATACAGGCAGAATTCGTAAAAATACAAACTAGGTATCAATTTAACAAGTTATCATTAAATTTGGGAAAAAAAAAACAACTACATGATATATAGTAATAGAAATAAAATTATCGCAGTCCCATTTAAAATTGACTATTGAAATTCATAGAGTTAATGAAATAAAAAATTTGGGTGTTATTAATGAGAAGCTGACACGAAATCTCATGTAAATTGCTTAAGAATAAAAATAGCAAAATCGGTTGCATTACTGTATAAAGTAAGAGTATTTGAATGACAAAGCTTTGTATATATTGTATAATGTAGTAATTGTTCCATATTTAATCTACTGTATTGAAGTTTGGGGAAAAGCATGCAAAACAATTACAAATCCTATTTTTATTTTACAAAAAAGAGCTATAAGAATTATTAGAAGGAAGTGCTATGGTCATCCAACAAATATATTATTTCATCAGTTGAAATTATTAAAATGTTAAGATTTGGTTATATTTTACAAGTCCTGTATAAAGCTCATAAAAATATTACCCCCAAATATTCAATTAAAATTTGTTTAAAAAAACAATAATTATAACTTTAAGGGAATGGAAATGTTTGTAAAAACTCCATTTAGAACAAGTCTGAAGGAGCTGCGTTGTAATTCAGGGAATAGGATTGTGGAATTTTCAAATTTCCAAAACAATTTATATGTTTAAAAAGATGATTAAATTGAAGTTGTTAAGAAAGTACGATGTGAAGAATGCCTGATGTTTTTGTTTTCGCTTTGGGGATTGTTCAAGCCTGTTGGTGGTGGTGTTGGTGTTAAATAAGGGGCAGATATGATTTTTTTTTTCTTCTTTCTGAACCCTTTTCATTGAGTGTTTTTTCTTTTTGATGTATTTGTTCTCAGCTGCCTTTGGGTGAAGGCAGGCGACACCCTGGACAGGCCTCCAGTCCATCACAGAGACACAGACAAAAAGACACACTCCCAGTCTCACCTAGGTTAATCCAGTCACAAAAAAAAGCCCCAAAATGGATTCAAACTGAGAACTTCAGTTCTCAATTGAGTTCTATCACAAATTATCAATAATTGATCATATCTGCCCTGGCAAATTATTGATAATTATTGTGAGTTCCTAACGTTAAGACGTGATCAGGCAATCATATATTCACACATATTTAAACATACATAAATAAATGGTATATTATTTATAGTATAAATAATGGTACGTATTATTTATACTATATATATATATAAAGGTGAGCAGTGTAAATTTGTTTGTATCAAACAATCAGCCTTTTGTGTCACACAGCCCCACTGAAGTCTCAAAGATCTAGACCCTGATCTGGAATGATTAACTCGTCACCTGCTCCACATGCAAATATGTAGTCAAATAACAGAGTCAGCTGTCAACTGATCTCAAACAGAACAGCGGTGGTGTTGGGCAAGTGGGGGGTGGGGGGAGATTATCAGTGCAATTCATGTTCAAAAAAATGCTGCAAGTCCATTCTCAATAATCCAGGTAAAAAAAATCCAACAAAGTTAAGTCATGTCCTGTAGATGTTTTCTTTCTTTTTTTTTTTTTTTTTTGATGTTTTGTTCATCATCCAAAGGACTTCATCAGTCCGAGGAGCCACAACAAACTCAGTCCCATAAATAGCACACTGGCATAGTGGGTCAACCAGTTTGCTGGTGATAAGATGGTTTCTGGGGCCCGCCCACTCCCCCATCGACTCCTCTGAGGCAGCCATAGCTAAAGTGGTTCAAACCATCAAAAAGAAACCGTCCAGATGACCTGACTGAACTTTGTTGGACTTGGCCCACTGGTTTAAGTCAGAAATTGAGTATGAAGTCTGAGTTCTGATGAGCGAATCAGGACAGTGAGTCATCCAGATGTGTCACACCTCCAGCAGCAGCAATGCTCGTGCTCTATGGAAAC